CAATTCCATAGAACCTTTAAACTAAAGCTGTAGAAATAAGGAAGAACTTTGAAACATTTAAAATGTGATGGCTGTTTTCATTAGCACAAATGAACTGTGCATGAAGTGGTTTAAAGGCAATTCTGTTGAAAGATTACATTTACTTCTTCCAGTAAATGAAGTGGGTGAAACCAATCTGATAATTCCCTTGTAGCAGGAAGGAAATGTCAAGCATCTACTCTTGCTGATCAAAATAACAAAATGTCTTCTGGGTTCCCCCTTAGTGGGGGCTACTTCAGAACCCATCACTGCAGCCCAGGGGTGGGGCCAGAGCAGACAGTGGCATCTTGGTGCTGGGCAGAGTGCATGGCAGTGGCTATAAATTTTAATCCCCCACCCTAATTTCCCCATGCCCCCAATCCTCTTTTGCTGCCCTGCTGCCTCCAGTTTCTGCCCACCTCAAGTATAACCCCAAATAATAGTCACCCCCAATGTACATTTTTTGAAAAAGTAAGTGTAATCAATTATAGGTCTAGAAAAAATATTTAGAATAAACACAGTTGTAATTCACCAGAACAGTAATTCATGATAAGACAGCAAGACAGTGTGGGTTTGTTGTATCAACAAACGCCTGCAGAAGAGCAACTGAAGCCTAAACAAATCATCTCAAATGAAGCCTAAATAAACATTGCCAAGTCCAACAGTTAATCCCAACTATTATACAGGCACTGATACGAGGGCTTTGGTAACACAACATTTCTGTTAGTTCCACCGATCTGAGATGAAGCTAATGAGTGTATTTAGTTCTTCAAATCAAGGTCTTCTAATATTGCTGCTTCCTAGTGGTTGTGCCTATAATCATTTCTTAGTGGGAAAATCAATCAGCATTGATTCATTTTTCATGTTTTCTGATGCGAAGTATTAAATGGAATGATTTGTCAAGCATCAGTCATTCTGATTCCTGCTTTTACACATTGTACATAGGAATGCTGTTGATTCCTCCAATAATATGTATATAATAGATATGACCAGATGCCAGATGATATATTAACATGTCCCGTTAGGGTGGCACATTATAAAATACTTGCCCTGTTCTGTGCCTGTGTTCTACAATTCACTGAATTATTAGATGCTGAGATTTGCTGCGTTAAAAGTCCAACAAGTGTGTTTCAATGTTTAAGGCTTCTTCTTCCAAACTGGCATGTAGCAAAAGATCTGCCTGATTTTCTTTTCTTTTCAAACTGACAACTGGACATTTCAACTTGTAGTCTTTTCAGTGAAATAAAAAAGCTTTTAAAAAATCCTGGGTTTTTTCCCCCCATTTCCTTTCCCTATATTACACTGTGATTGATTTTAGCTCAGTGGTTCAGATGTCTGGCTGCAGAGTCAGAGGCTGAGAGTTAAACTCCCCACACTGCCTACTGTGAATAGGTGTGTACAGTCCCAGGGTGCGCCCAGAAAAACGGAACTGTACACTTCTAAATATTTGCTACTGAAAATGGTTGCCATAAATCATAATTGACTTTACGGCATGTGATGATTTATTTCTTTATTATATATTTATTGTGGGGTTTTTCATGATAACAACATTATCTGGACGTCTTGAATAGATGGACACTGTAGAAATGTTTAAGTAAATAGGCTGAAAAGAAAGAAACAAATTAGAAATAAAGATCTGAGAATATGTCCCATTTTTAACTTGCTAGGATTTCTTCTAAGTAAACATTCTTACTAATTTAATTATTTTAAATATTCATTAGTTTACATTTTTTGGATGTTTACCCACGCATTAAACTTAATAGATGCATACAAAGAAAAGTGTAATAAGATCATAAAGTAATCCATTTAAAAATCAATAGTAATAATTTTTGAAACCCAAAAAGTAAGGTAAAGGTAAACGTTCCCCTTGACAATTTGTCCGGTCGTGACTGACTCTAGGAGGCGGTGCTCATCTCTGTTTCCAACCCATACAGCTAGCGTTTTGTCTGAAGACAATCTTCCGTGGTCACGTGGCCAGTGCGACTAGACACGGAACACCATTACCTTCCCACTGTGGTGGTACCTATTTATCTACTCGCATTTGCATGCTTTTGAACTGCTAGGTTGGCAGGAGCTAGGACAAGCGACGGGCGCTCACTCTGTCGTGTGGATTCGATCTTGCAACTGCAGGTCTTCTGACCTTGCAGCCCAGAGGCTTCTGCGGTTTAACCCACAGTGCCACCATGTCCCTTTTAAGTAAGCATTACATGTAAGTAAGCATTTCAATATATTTTGTCCTGGCAACAACACTCATACTTATGCCCAGAGTTGTAACTCCTGTGACATAAATGTCAGTGGTGAATTGCCACACCAATTAAGAAGCCAGGTGGGATTTTTTTTCCTTTTTGGTTACACAAGTCATGTGATTCAAGGAGTGACAAGAAAGATGAGCAACAGCTTCTTAACAGCTGCCTAAAATTTATGCCACTGGATTAAGTATGAGTTGGATTTCAACTCAACAATAAAATGTCAATAAATTAGTGGCATGGCCATAAAACAATTCGAATAAGAATGACTCAAAGCAGGCAGGTTTCCAAAGGTTTTCAGATACTGTAATTGACTAGGCCAGCTGCATATGCCATGGTGAAGGTTCCAAGCCATGCCTGGGATTGCACTGGAAATGGATGGGCTTGTAACTGGGTATCTGCATCCAGATGTACAGTAATTGTGTTTGGAATAGACCTATTCAATGGAACAAGTAATCTGAACTGAAATTCTCTTATTTTTGGTGGGTCTGCTCTAGGGATGGACAACCTGTGGCTCTCCAGATATTATTGAGCTGTAACTCATATCACCCATCACCACTGCCTTCTCTGGCAGCAGTGCCAAGGCTGGGGGCTGAGGTGGAGGGTGAACTTTTCTCTGCTTTGTCCCAACATAGCCAGTTTGGGGGGTGGGAAGAGATAGAAGGGTATATAAGCTGTCCCTGCCTACATGCTGACCTCTTTCGATAGTGGCACTCAATCTACCCACCTGTCTTGTGAGCCATAATGAGGGAACTGGTCACATATGGGCCAGATAGGAATTTTGAGTCTGAGCCACCTGATTGGTGTATTGAACAAAAGGGACTCCGAAATGTTTCTACCCTCCCATTTTGATTTCTTGTGGGGCAACATGGGCAACTCTGGAGTGGTTTCCAAGTTTAAATAGATGGTTGTGCTTAGATTGGATACGGCAGATAGGAATTAAGACAGCTGTGAGTTCCATAGGATGCCTGTTGATTTTTGGGGGGATGCCAGGATCATGAGAAATTCTGGTACCCAGGCAGGGACCAACTTTTGAGGCTGAGTCATGACCTGCTTATATCATGAGATAGGAACGGGCCTTGGGAAGGTCTCCCCAAATTTGTGCCAGCTGGATTTTGGCTATAATTTACAAAATGCCCCAGGGCAGGAGTTCAGCCTTATGGCTGAAGGAGGGATCTAGGTATAAAAAGCAAAGGCAAGCAAAGCGTGCTGCTTATATACCGCCCCATAGTGCTTCAAGCACTCTCTGGGCAGTTTACAAGTTAATTATGCAGGCTATACATTGCCCCCCAGTGAGCTGGGTACTCATTTTACCAACGTTGGAAGGATAGAAAGCAGAGTCAACCCCAGGTCGTGAGCACAGTACATCGGTTTAACCACTGAGCCACGAGGCTCTCTTAATAACTCCTGCCCCTACTAGAATCTGTACTATAGGATGGCTCCTCTGCTGGATAAGGAATTGGTTATTTAATAAAGTTATAGCCCTTTCACCCCTTCCCTGTTGCTTACATCTTTATTTCTTGGTTGGGGGGGGGATAATGGCTATGCCAGCTAAGGGAGATGGGAGTTATAATCCAGAACATGATCTGGAGCACCATAAATGGGCCACCCATGGTCTGCAGTAAGGATGGCTAAGTCAGTATCTAACTACTGTGTTTCCCCGAAAATAAGACAGGGTCTTATATTAATTTTTGCTCCAAAAATGCATTGGGGCTTATTTTCAGGGAATTTTTTTAATCATATGCAACTATCTACATCTATTCAAATACAGTCATGTCATCTTCTGGTTGCTGCACAGTGGTGGAGGGCAGAGTTTCACTTAACTGGAGCTTATTTTTAGGGTAGGGCTTATATTACGGGCATCCTGAAAAAATCATACTAGGGCTTATTTTCAGGTTAGGTCTTATTTTCAGGGAAACGGTAAGTCTTCTGGAGGGAATCAATTAATATTAGTTCAGTACTTGTTTTCAATATTCAATACTAATTCAGAACTTCAGGACTCACCTAGTTTTGTATTATTCTCAACATCTCTCCTACATTTCTGCATGTTGCATCTGGACTCTGGATCATACAATTAGAAATGCAGGAAATGGATCTGTGAACACAACATTATTTATGTTAAAGTTTTAATTGAATATTTGATAGGGCATAACAGTGTGTAACTGCTGTCACTATCTTATTCTTTCTGGACATTTTAAATGATGTTCCTTTCAAATCATATGGAAATCTCTTTGCCGAAATAATAATTTACTTGTGGGAGTGTTGCATTCATCAGATTATTTGTCATCTCATTTTCAGATTATTTTCCAAAATAAATGACTGGCAGGCATGTTTACGTATATTGTTATGCTAGCATTTAATGATAAATTCATCTTTTAAGATATGAATCTATTTGCAATCATCTCGGCATTAGCTAGAATGGGACACTAATTTGATCGCCACTGAATATCTTTGGCATTTATTTTGCAAGAGCTATGAGGTTACATGTTCTTGGTCTTTGGATCCATCTACTTCTTTGTCACCTGTTTTCCTTCACAGTGCAGACTGAAATAAGGGTGATAGCAGTGGCTTAATTTTAGCAGGAACACAGTGAAAAATGCCACATCATTCAGAATAGAAAATCCTCTGTCAACTTAAGCAGTATCTATTTCATAGGTGATTTTTCTATTCATTTTCTTAAAATAATGAGAACATTACTGATTGAATAACCTTCTCCCCCACTACCAATTTTTGCAGGTCTCCAAGTAACCCAGAGCAGAAGATCATTAAGCGAGTGATTGCTCTTGAAGGGGACATTATCAAGTAAGTACTTCACACCATCATCTCTGACAACTTTTAAGGCTGTTATAGCACCTTTTCAATAGTATTTGAATCTGTATCCCAGGCAACCATGACATTGTGTCATTTAGGGGATCTATATTATTAACATGTGTACCACTGCTATTCATTTTTTAACAGGACAAGAGTAACTAGACCAAGTCATCAGATACGAAACAAAACAGATTTATATAATATGCAGATGTTGGGACCCCACCTTAAAGGGTTAAACATCAGTCAAGGGTTCTTAAGCCATTACCAGGTGTGAAATGCTGCAATGATTGTCTTGCTATCTGCTGTTGTTTCTGACAAATCATGGTCACTTTTTACAAAACAAGGCTTCAGTGGGAATGAAACCGACTTAAAAAGCCTGAATATTAATCAGGGGTCTTAAGTCATTATGAAGTGTGAATTGCCACATTGACTCACACAATTTGCAATTGTGTCTGCTATATTAACCTATCATTGTCACTTTGTTTTCTGTATTCCATAAGGTCATGTATAAATGATTGCCATATAGTCTCATTCTTATGTCTGAGGAAGTGGACTTGATCCATGAAAGCTCATGTTAAACTATAGCAGTTAGTCTTTAAGGTACCATTACATTTTTGTCTCCTTTTGTTTTGATTTGGTTCTTTTTGTTTCTTGTCTGATATGTTTGCACAGACTAACACAGCTACCACTTGGAAAACTACACCTATGATATACAAAAATATTCGTCTGTTTCTAATTCTGAACTTCAAAAAAGTAATCACACTAGTTTTCTTGGGGTGTGACTTCAGTCCAAGAGTTCTGATTTAATAAACCACAATATGAACAAACAGCACACATATTGCTTCACTCAGTCTTTTCTTTCCCAGTTTGACCTTTTCATTCATACATGACCAGGAAGGAATATTTTTCTTCTATGTGGGGATCTTGGTTTATGGTTAATTGTCATACAAACCAGGATTTTAAAAATTAATTGAAACAAAAAGGCTTTAATCCTTTCAACTGGGTTGGGTATCCACAACACAGAAGAATCAGCTCTACATGCAGAGTCTTTAGAACTCTAGACCAAGTTGGCAAGAACATTTGCAGTCTAAGTAGCAACAATAGCTCCAGTCTCTTCAGCTCTCCTGCTCTTTCTGATTCAAATCTCTACTCATAGCCCTTCTTTTCCTTAGTCTCACTCCTTTGGGTTGAACCAGTATTTCATAGGGGTTACACCTGCAATGTGTTGTGACTTAAAATCCTGGCATATTTAGGCACACTTAACAAGAATCCAGATGCTTGACATAATGCGAAGCTTTCAGTTTCTTGTTCATTATCTGCTTACATGGAAGAGGAATAAAATGAGAGCAAATGTTCCAGGCTTCAAACACTCATGAATATACAAGGCCTATTAAAACATCCCAGAAGAACCCTATCCCCAGCATCCACTTGCAGTGACAGCATGCAAGGAAAATATGCAGATAGAAAACCCCCAAGGGTCAGTAACCTCAGATAGTGAAGAGTCCACCCTGGTTGAAACCCCATCACCCAAGCCCGTGAACCACATCACCATCTACAACTGGCCACTAAGAAAATCAAATGGCATCTGGGCCTCCAATTCAGAAGTATTGCAGTCAATAACAGAAATTCTGGGCAAGGATTGGGATGCTCAAATGAACACGAAGTGTTACTGTGTTTATCCCAGTAAGCCCGGGCAACTAAGAGGCAGGGTGCACATGATCTTCGCCAATAGTAAACAGGCCCATCATTTTTGGAGCCTGTTATACAAGTTTGAAAAAATAGCAGTATCATTCAAATGGGGAATACATACAACGTACTCAAATATCAACCTCAGACCGATCACAAAATTGGACACCTACAAAGTAACAAATAGGTCCAGAGAAATTCAGGTTCCAGAACAAAGAGATGGCCCCACAGCCGCTTCCATAAGGAAGATAACAGCCGAAAAACCTAGCTATGACCTGTACAGAGATAGGGCTGAAGCTTCCACCATTTACAACAGATCACCTTCCAAAACCAAATCAGATGGCAGAGGAAAGGAAACGCAGATCAATGTTGCAACCTTCCCAAACAATATCCCAATTAACAAGCCTCGTGATCTTACAAGCAAAATCAACATACTGTACCATCCATACAAAGAGAAGATACATCCAGCCTGCTCAATTGGAACTATTTCTAACTCCACCTCCGAGTGGCTTATGGGCAATAGATATGCCTCTTTAGAGCTTTTCCCCAGAACTGACTATTGGAAGGCAAAAAACAAAAACATGTGAAGCCTTCCCACTAGAATATTGCACGGGGAAAAAACAAACAAGAAGTCCAATTTCACAAAGATCCCATAGTCCCAAACATAGAGTTGAAAGATATTCCTTTAGTAGAGAGACGCAAAGAAATCAAAACAACAAAGACTGGTCCCGTAAAGATGATCCTTTACCCACACCAGCTGCTCTCCTCACCTACAGAGGATGTCAGTCATCAGATGTATCTCAGACTTCTCTGGAGAAGCTAACGATATACAAGGAAGGGAACCCCATTAAAATTCTCTCTGCCACAAGAGGGGAAATGACTCCAAAGGCAGAAGAACTGAAAGTTCAGGAGCAAAATGGGGCACCAGACACTCAAGTATGGTGGTGTGCTCCAGAAAGCAACCAAAAATCTGCATCTAAAGTTGAACTTTTATCATGGAATGTGGCAGGTTGAACCAGATGTATCTCCCATAACCATGATACCCCTTTCTTTCACTGCAAATATGACATCATTCTTTTGCAAGAAACATGGTCTGACAAAGATATAATACTAGATGGTTTCAACTCTTTCATAGTAAGGGCAATCCAAGGGCACGGACTGGGGAGATTGAAGGGGGTGTTGAGCATTCTGGTATCAACGGCTCTGAAATCTACGATGAAACCCCCCTTGAGACAGCTGGCCATGGCAGTAGTACTTACAGGAAGTATGAAAACCCTATTGATCGTTAACATATACTTACCTCCTACCTCTAGAAAAGCAGAAGCAGAAGGAAATTGGATAGAGCTTGAAAACTAGAAGAGCCTTTACTTTGTCGAGGTGTTTGGCCCTGCCCTCTGCTGTACTAGAAGGGAAGTATAAAAATACTCCTTTTGCTGAAAGGTTATGCTCCTGCCACCTGAGGGAGATTGAGACCATACAGCATATGTTCTTCACCTGCCCATTGTATGAAGCAGTGCAAAAAGAGACTATTACCCCCTTAATAAATAGAATCCCAGGATGTTCAGAGGGAAATAGGCTTCAGTTCCTTCTCTCGAATGTTGATATGCAGATCACCTGTCAAGTTGCGAAATTCTGTGTAGCAATACTTTGTTTGCGGAAGTTAAATATCAATTAGATAGTAGCTCTCAGCTGTCTATATGCCAACATGTTCTAATAGAATATTGAAAGTTAGTTTGTGGAGGTTAAATATCAATTAGATAGTAGCTCCCAGCTGTCTATATGCCAACATGTTCTAATGGAATATTGAAAGTTAGAAATTATAACTTTTTATAAGGTTTTATAAGGTTTTATATATGGGACATGGTATGCGGGTTAAACTGCAGAAGCCTCTGTACTGCAAGGACAGAAGACCAAAATTGAATCCATGCGACGGAGTGAGCTCCCGCCGCTTGTCCCAGCTCCTGCCGACTTACTGTAGCAGTTCGAAAGCATGTCAATGTGAGTAGATAAATAGGTACCACCTTGGTGGGAAGGTAACAGCGTTCCATGTCTAGTCGCGCTGCCCATGTGACCACGGAAACTGTCTTTGGACAAAACGCTCGCTCTATGGCTTGGAAACGGAGATGAGCACTGCGCCCTAGAGTTGGACAGGACTGGACTAAATGTCAAGGACAACCTTTACCTTTACCTATAAGGTTTATGTGACTGGTCTAAGGACCATAAATAAACTATTCATATTCTTACACCAACTACTACTCAGATGTGTGTGTGAAAAGGATGATAAAATTATACATGTTCTGGCAGAAGTCTAGACTCAGTCCCATTGAAGCTGGTTGGGCATCTTAAACTTCCTTGTGAAGTTGGCCCCGCCATTCACAAAGTTTGCTCTGAACAGGTTGTGTAATCAGTTCTTAGGAACTTTTTTTTGTGAAGAACCAGAGAAGACTGTTCAACCAGAGACAGTCAAACTGAGCAGCATTGCAATCAAGTTTCCCTGCCCACGGCAGCTGTGGCAATGAAGAATGAACAACTTAATTTGCTTTGTGAATTAGTTTGGTCTGAAATCATTAAAATACATAGTTCCCCTGCAAAGTACTGTTAACTGATAGGTGTTTGAGGGACGGGAGAGTTAAAATGTCAGTAATGTATAATGTATTAAAAATAAATGTTTGTATTGCACAACCTATTGAATTGGAAGAAATCAAGTATTTTGAAGCGAGTTTATTTCAGGCGTAATGTCTAGAGAGATTAAAATCTATAGTAATGTATTGCAGATGTGCAGGTTATTGTACAAGGTGCCAGAACAAAATACACATTCGGTTAACTCTGGGACTTCATCAGCGCACTGCTTGTTAGAGCCTGTTTTGAGCGTGCTAGGCAGCCTTTCTTAGCCTTGAGTCACTAGTAGGGCTGTAAATTCACACATCACAAAGAAAAAGCAAGTCACCTAAACGGGGGATTGATTGTAAGACATGTTCACTGATTTATAGGTATGAATCAGGAATTCAAACCCCCAAGGCCACTTTTTGTGGCCTCCCCCAACCCATTGAAATCCAGCAGGAAATTGTGCTGGTGAAGACTGTTAAAACAAAGAGAAAAGGCTTGGTTAAATAGGTTTTCGTTTGAAACTGGGCATCACACTTTACAGAATGGTTCTCCCCTCTTCCCTCTGCCATAGTCACCCAACACTGGTAGATACAAATTTAGAAGGAGTATTATTTAAATAGGAATATGACATATCTCATTGTAATGGAGAAAAAAGTCTTTGGTCAGAAAACCTCCATGCTGACCTGCTCAGTCTGGGT